TTAAACAAACACAGTTTGGTTACAAAAGAAATTAGTAAAGACGACAATAGTGATTAATACTGGAAAAATAACACTTATTAACACAGCGACTCACACCATTATATTCTGTATAAAGTCTTTCTACGTCCAAGAAAATAGAAGTTATATCTTGAGGTGTTTTCCTTTGGATTTTGGTTACGATATCTTTGAGTGTCGTTGGTAACTTTTTTTTTCTACATAGTGTTACTGTGCGGTAACTTAATGTTTTCACGTAAGGACAGACTACTTGCGCAACAGTCTGCCATTTTTCACCGCCTTGCGTCTTGTTTTCCGTCTGCTCCCTCCGTCTGGATTAGTTCCAAGTCCGCTCTCCGTTTGAATTAAGCATAGCCCAAATGGAAGTTGAACTTGAAACTGCAGCCTTATGTTATTGTTTGCCCAACGGTATCGTTATTGCCGAGTATTGATTCATCATACTCTTTACCCCCTCGTAGAGCTCCCACCACCTCTTCTTCCTCCCCCCCCCCCGAAGGTCGAAAATAGACAGTTCAGCACGTTAGGAGGTAGTAGTTTCGAGAAGAGGTGAAAGTCACGGTCTGGACTTTCTGTAGGTTCACTAGTAATCAGAGGTCGCTTTCTTCTGTCAGGTAAATAAGGTACACGAAAAAAAAAATAAGGTGTTTTTCCAAAACACACTTTTTCTATCTTCTCTCTCAGGTAGAAAAAGAGTCGTTCAGTTGAAGAGGCCCGTGATCGGGTCGAGGGAAACCCGTAGGGCATGTCCATTAGTTCGGGCCCCAGACTGCCCGAGGCAGAGAGCACACTTCGTCGGGGAAACGCGTGTAGTTATGCCGACTTGAAAAGGACGGCTCAATGGACTCAAGAGGACGTACTCGGCGAGGGAGTGGAAATAGATAAACAAATTTCTATTGGCGCTCTTCCTTTCAGAACTAATGGAGGGCCCTGTTGTGCCGAGGAGAAGTTCAAACGTTTTCACTTCTATCCAGAAGGTCTTTCAAAACAACTGTTCTAGAGGGCGACACCGGCCCTCCCCTCGGCTACCTGTCCCATTGGAACCGAGTAGATTTTTCCTGTTTTGGCCTCTCGAAAACTTCTCTAGTTCGTCCTCCCTAAAACAAATGCCTCCTCTACTGTCCTTGTCCTACAATGCCTCTTGTGTCCCACACGTACCTCTTATATATATCTCATCGTAGTGAGTCTCGAAAGGATTCCTACCTATAAGGGAAGATTACGTAGTTCCCTCGAGTTTACCGTGAGGTCTTAGGGAAAGTATAATTATACTAAACTTATTCTCGAATTACCCCTTCCCTTTTATGTAAAGAACTGCACACATGCGTTGGAGACTGATTAAATTTACACAGTTTGAACGCAAAGAGCTGCTAAAGTAAGGGGGGACGGTACCGTAAGTCCGTATCGCACAAGGGCATTGTCAGTTTGTTCTCACGAACTCTTTGGACTTACGGAAAATCTTAGACACGTAGACAAATAGACTTACGGAGGACCATTATACAAAGATATCATTTTTTCACAATGGTCATTGTGACTTGTTCTCATGTGTTGATATTAGTCTGGAGCCGAAGTCGTAAAAAAAATCTACGTCACATGATTCTTTTTATCTGTTGTACTTTCTTATACGAAAGGTTAAGTAAAGTGGTTATGTAAAATTGCCTCGTTAAAACTTTTTTTCTTAATATGTCTTCGACACTTGTCATCTATGTATTACACTAAATTCGATTAAGTCACAAACCAGTTACTACACTTGTTAGTTTACAGTAACTAGTTCTCCTCAAATAACCAAGTCTAAAAAAAATTATTAGATATTGTCTGGTAAAGGTCCGGACGTTACATATTCCTTTTGGTTTGTCTTATTATTCCGGATGTGAAATTTAACTTTTTAGTTTCAAACTAATATCGTGTCTAGGCCGAAAAATATTACACATCGTCTGAAAACGTACATACCTTCGGATTCTCCGTTTACTCTCGATGTATACAAAAGATACATTAAATTTATCAAAATTACACAAAAGTTAAACGCTTATTTTCCAAGGGACTATAAAAGATTTAGGGGAGAAACCTTCTCAAACCCCTTTTTGCGTCATTTTTTCCTTGAATTACTAGAGTTCGTACGTTCACATTTGTATATGGTAGTATTGTATATGCCGGTGGGTGATACACATTTGTTCCATTTATATCGATTACCGATCCGGACACGTTATTCGTACATATTTGTCCGATCGTATTGATTCGTAAAATCGTTTGTACATTTACACGTTTAAACTTGTATGTCCAGTTATAGAGGGAACTAATAAAAAACCACGACTTTGACAGGTTTATGGGGTTTGTTGTTATAATATCTATTATTTTATTGGATTACAAACAATAAATTTCTGTGTTTAATTGTTGAATATTCAAAAAGTAAAGAACAAAATTGTATTAATATATCTAGTTATTAAAAAACAATTTCCAGGGTACAGTACGGAAAAAGACCAATTAATGGACAGGGGAGACACAATACTTCCAAAAAGCAATTTACGTTACATTTGGCCAGACGTCTCAAGCGTTTGGGAGTTTCAAAATGGCTTGGGAACAATTCGCTCATTTTGGAATTGGTGTTCTTTTATGGAGGGGTTTTTTTGTTTGGGCAGCAACCTTTTATGCAGCAACAGGGTTAAACTTAAGAAGGGGGCCAATGCGGTTTTGGACTAAACAGGTTTTGGCAATGGTGCCATTGCTTTACCTGGTTAGGGCACCTCCGTTTTCAAATGCAATGCAGGCGTCTCGACAATTGCAATTCGGGGGCGACTAACCAGGGTTTAACTTTTTGGTTAGGTGACTTTGAAAAGGGGAGTGTGTGTTGATTTGAGGGGACCCGACCGGGTCCCAGACTAATTGTCTGTCAAAAAACCCTTTTTAACGCCGCTTTAAGAGAGGACCGTCTGGGGGTAAGAAAGGTGTCACAAAAATAGTTGCGAAAAAAAAAAGAATGAGTTTTATACGTTCGGTGTGAATAACAAAAAATGAAGCCGAACTGAAAAAACACACACGAAGGTTCCTACTTTCAAACCGAACACCAAAGCGACACATAGCGAAAATTTCGTTCCTTTGTTGTGGAGGGTTAGCCTTCGAATTCGGCGTTTTAAGGTTGTTGCAGGGCTGGTTTTTAGTCTCGTGTTGACACGGAGTGTCCCTCCCAACCGACTTCGATGACCTCGAGTTGGGGTCGGCAATTTCCGTCTCACTTTAAGTTCACTTTTAAATGTTGCATCAAAATCGTCTCTACGGACAATTACTCTTTGGTTTCACTTCAAAAACCCTTTTTAAACCGTTGTTATATTTTTAGATTAAGATTCAATTCTGGAAAGTTTTGTTACCTTTAATACTTTAGGTCACCTTTACCGGTTACTTGTTTACCCTTGGGAAAAATTTCTCGTGAAAAACGGTCCAAAACTTGCATAGTGATTTTAAAGGACAATCATTGATCAAGTAAGGGGTGGGAATTAATAAGCATTTGCTTCCTCCTACTCCCTTTCAGACACATATGATTTTTTATTTTTTATTATTATTATTATTAATATGAAGACTTTTTGTATCATGAATGTGGACAAATACTGTATTTTAACAATACGGTATTCTGTTTCTCACATTTGTTATTTTGTTATTTTTTAACATCTGTTCGAAATATAGATGGAAAGGAAATGAGATGAATAATATTGAGTTCTGCGTGTATACTGTACAAGTCTGCAAATCTCAATTTGTATTCACTCCTTACCTTCCTTTCCACTTGAATTTGTCTTTAATAAAAACTGTTGCTGCTCTAAAGCTACCTTTGTGGAAAAGCAACTGCGCTATTTATCAAATTGCTGGTCTGAGCTATTATAGAAAGAGCTTCACTGAGAAAATGTGACTGTTTTCCCACCCTTTCTCCCTACCCACTTCCCCATGTTTTCATCCCTGCACAATTTGATTTGACTTGATTTGATTTGAGCCCTGCCACTTTCAGTTTGAATAGGGTAACCAAGAGTTATTTGCTTGGAGAGACAAGGGCCTCATCGTCCGAGAGGTTTGATGAACTTCCAACCCGCTTAAAAAAAAGCTAGCTTTATTCAAATGTAACACATGACTACAAAGACCCAGTGTTTGATAAGGTGTATGAGATGTAAATGCCGAATGGAGCCTCTCCACTTATCTGCCCCGCCAAGGAAAGGTGCCCGGCATCATAATCATCCCATCTGAATGGAATCAAAGTGTGCTGCTTTATGTGAATGAGTGCTGCTCCGTTGCTTTGGTGTGGGAGCCGTACAGTAACAGCCCCCCGGGGCTCGGTGGATCAGATGGAGCAGGCTGGAAGATGTGCTGCAGCTTCTCAGGGATCTGAGCGCTAGAGTACACTTATTTTCCAGACATCTTTTTTTTTCCTAAAGGAGCAAAACTTAAAATCCCACATTCATGCTACATTTGAGCCTGATTCCACCCAGTGTCTCCCAGCAGAAGGCTCTCGTTCAGTTTACCATTCCACCCCTTTTCTTCTATATTCTAGCCCCTTGTTTTTTAACCTTTGCACTCCTTATTGTCAGGTGCTTGGAGAGCAATTCAGTCATTTGGAATTAGTGCACTTGTGTTTGTATAGTAAGCCACTCTGGATAAGGGTGTCAGCTAAATGTCTAAGATGTAAATGTATGTAAATGCAAGACCTCCTGTGTACAAATACAGGTCTGACTGTGCATTCCCATCAGTGGCTCTAGTAGGGGAACCAAATACATTCCTAGAAGCACTCTCTGAACCACTCAGCAGTGCTATGCAGGGCGGCATACAACCACACAATTTTCCCAGTGGGTTAATGAAAAACAATAAAAACATAAAGTATCAGAGCTTAGATGTGAGCAGCAGATGTTTAGAAGAACAGCAGATGTTCATCAGGGTATGCATACAGTAGCTATTTGCTTGTACAGTAGCTCATGGAGAAGTGCGTATTTAGCCAGAGCCTCTGGAAGGCTGCATCTGTGTGGGGGCAGGCTAGGCTCAACCTTAAACATGGTGTGTGTGTGTGTGTGTGTGTGTGTGTGTGTGTGTGTGTGTGTGTGTGTGTGTGTGTGTGTGTGTGTGTGTGTGTGTGTGTGTGTGTGTGTGTGTGTGTGTGTGTGTGTGTGTGTGTGTGTGTGTGTGTGTGTGTGTGTGTGTGTGTGTGAGCCCCCAAATCAAACTGCTCACTGCCAGCCTGTCTCTTGTCCCCTCCAGAGGGTCATTCAGCGCCTCTCCCTGCTTCTAATCCCGTCTGTCCGGGGGAGATAGAGGGGAGCGGACGGCCGCGGCGCACCCGGGGCGCCGCAAACACAATCACCAGCCTTTCACAGACACTTAACGGGGCTTTGCGCTTGTTCAACAAGGCAAAACGCGGCAGGAGGGATCAATTTAATACAAGGCCTGACTCAAATGGAAAGAGGGTAAATAAATAAGCAATGACAGCAGAGACTGTTGCACAATTTGTGTAGTGGCTGTCCACTTTCTCTCACTCTCTCCTCTGTGGCTTCTCCCGCCGCGGCACCTATGCGATTCCATTTCCTGCCTGAGCGACATATGGGGACGAGCTGAAAGAGAGCAACCCTGGATCCTCTCTCTCATCAGGGTGTGTTATTTGAATAAATCACTTCTGCCATTGCTTGGTACATTAATTCCCCGGGCCCAGAGGGCTGTGTTGCCACTAGCAGCGATCTGCATGAGGCGCTAAATGATGTGGGGGATCCCCCGGTGAGAGAACAGAGGCTCTCTGAATCTTTCCTCCGTCTCAGCCTTGTCGGGTTGGCTCTCACCCTGGGCTGGCCCCGGCTCTCAGCAGACATCATAATCAGAGGAGAGCCAAGGCCTCGTCGCGTCGCACATACCAATGAGACGTATAGCCAGGAGGGAAGTCACCTGACACCTCGCTCTGCAGACGCTAGCCCCTCGCGTGGCTCCATTTCGTTTCCTCACTCTGGGGCTTTATCATAACATACATGGCAATAATACTTTCCTTAACATATTTTCAGAGCTGTGTGTTCTCTCTTGGGGAGTTGTTCCCTTTCCGTTTACTCCAAAGACAATGGGTTTAAAAGCAGTTTAACCTATCTTTCTTAACAGAAATGTTCCATTTGTAAAAGGTAATTCCTTCACGTTGTTGTATAAGACGATCACAGCGTTCAAATTGTGTCTGCAGGTGGCGGTGTGCATAAACACTACGTCGCTGTTTTACATGACTGCTTGATTGAATCCAGCGCAGTGTGACAGCACAGAGGCAGGTGGTGCGAGTAGCAGCCGCCAAAGTGCTAACACTGGCACCGTAGTGTTGAATATATTTCTCCACTGGGGGTTTCCAGACACCACCATTTCCCCCTCCGACTTCTTAACGCATCAAGGACTGGCGTGCAGCTCCTTTCCTTTCTTTATACATCCTGAGACAGAGGTGAGGTTGCCATTGGTATGCACAGACAACAGCGGTAGATTCACCTCCAACAACACCGCTGGGAGATTATACTCTTCCCACTCCACACAGGGATCCGGCCACCGTAAATAGAGCGATTGGGAGTGTGCCGTGTGCCCGGAATGACAGAGCACCGCGGTGGCTAACCGTGCTAGCCAGCCGGCGAGCACAAACTCAAGGACTGACACAAATATAGTAATCTCTCATGCTTTCAGTTGTGGATTTTATCTATTACTACGGGGACTCACAAATCGCCACACTGGATATCCGTCTGGTGTGCAATGTGCAACTGTTGGGGCATGCAGGATATAAACAAACACTAAAAAAAACTGGAATATTAACTTAATTAAATGTATTATATCAACATAGTTTACATTACCATATTAGGTTATTGAAAGCAATAATATTAAAGATCCCCTATTATACTGTTTTTCATTAATATATTATAGTTATCAGATAAACAAAACAGGTCTCTGAAGCGTTTGGCTCCAAATACCAAACAGATCATGCATTGCAGCATGTCATATTTGTTTAAAAAGAACACAGTGGTGCTCTAGGAGGAGGTTCAGGTGATAAGGTGGGTGGGGGTTACCTTGGTTGGTTATTGGGTAATGGTTACCAAAAAAGCCAAACAAATCGTTATGACATCACCAAGTGGCCAAAATCTGATCAGCTTATTTTCAGACAGGTTTTTATAGAAATGGATCAGGACAAAAAGAGAGTGAATATTTTTTCCTGAAACATTCAGAAACTCCTTACACAGAGGGGACACATGTTTATGTATAAAAGATCTGAAAAAGGAGATTTTGCATAATAGGTGACCTTTAAGTTTGAATACAAATTATTAGGTTCAACTTAATATTATTGCTTTCAATTAACCTAATACAGTAATGTGACATTTGTTGACATTATACATTTAATTAAAGTCAACATTTCAGTTTTTTTAAGTCAAATCTGTTGGACTTCAGGAAATATGTATCTCTTTAGAAAGCAGAGAGAATTTGACTTTGGTACAGAGTTGTTTGCACAGGAACCATGTTTTCTAAATATGTCTTCCTTTATGTTAAAGCTGCTCAGTCAAGGCAGGAATTCAGCCCTAATCACAGTTCACAGACGAGAAAATTGGCCCTGTTTATTTGCTTTTTGCTCAAACATTAAACTAGTTTATCAATAAATTATTCATTGTCTGTTTATATCAAATCTTCTAAGGGACGGAGCATGAGTTGTGGCGGTGGCTCAGCATGCAGATGAAATCATAAATGAGAAGCAGGTTTTTTCTAAAGGGCTTACGTTGTAGTGGAAAATACAACTGAATGGCAGAAAGAGAAGTAATTTGAGTGAGTATAATGACTTACTGTTGCTATGGTGTACGATGACACACAGCGTGAACACATACGCAGAACAGTGACATTTAAGATGAGAACTTGGGTTTGTTTTAACAACAGACCCAGCTACCTTTCACATTTTAAGAAGCTATTTCGAGTTTAATTACAACATTTCATGGTCATTTTCAGTTTTCATCATGGAGCTTCTATCTTTTTGCACATACAATTTGTCTCACTTGCACATACTCTGACCCATTAAAACTGCATCTCTGCATTTTACTTAATATGGACACGGAAGGCTGTCTTAATTAATAAGCAGGCATCCACCAAACTAATCTGCCTATGTTGTGAAGTCTGTCCTTTCCATTAAGTGGGACTCACATTATCTCCTAATCAAATTAGTCACTTAATTGTGGCCCTCCCTTGATGGATCCCATGAAAAAAGTAGCGCCGTGTTTGCTGGAGGGGGATGTGTGAAGATGGAACACGGCTGTTTCATTACGATATGAATTTTTTAATAACCAAAGCGTTCGCTGTCATCTCCTTGCTTTGAACCTTTGCGGAGGGTGAAGTTGAATTTGACATTTTATCCACTCTCACAGTGGAGTATCTAGCTGGTGTGTTGGGGCTAAGTACCTAGCCCAAGGCCACAACCCTAATTGCCCAACAGGGGATTGACCCCTGTCGTCCACTGATCACTAGTCTGCTTTCTTAATCACTCCCCCACACCGCCTGCCTACCTGATCTTAGTCAATACATTATCTCCTTCAGCTCTGATAGAACTGCTATTCCCAGAGTCATGATTAAGGAGGGAAACCTTATGTGCCCAAAGAACGCCACTCTCTCCTCCCTCGGCTGTTTAGATTGGCCCCCGGGAGCCCACGTTTTTAAAAAAGGGGAGCCAAGGCTACCCCTGCAGGTTGTGGTGTCCAGCGTCCAAGGGGGGAAACCCCAGGCGTCTGATGAATGGCGGCATGTGTGGTCGTTTGTCCCGCTGATGGAGTTTTATCCCCTGCCCTTTCAGAGCAGCCAGACAATAAAGAGAGCCACAGCCAAGCGTGACAGGTTAACCCAGCAGTAATAGAATACCCTTAATAGTCTGGCTTGAGCCAAAGTCGGCGACAGGGTCCGCCAAATTGCGCGGCTACGTCGGTGGTGAGAGTGCAGGAGGACCTGACACCGGCTCTCACTGTTGTTGTCAAACGGGGGAGCAAGGACAAAGAGGGCAGCTTGATGGCTTAATGGGTGGTTTGATGGCTTCATGGGGTGGAATTGAAGTTGGTGAGGGCAACAACGCTGATGAAACAGGGATTGGGGGGCATTATACAAAACGGAAATTAGCCATATATAAACGTGACGTCAAACAACCATATCAATTATATATTTTATAGGAATCCTTGAGCTTTAGCGAGTTGGTATCGTCTCCCTCTGTCTCTCCTTTATATGGTGTATGATTTATAGCGGGTGCCATGACACAGTGGGGATGCCTGTACAGAGGGGTTGAAAATAAACACGATCAAACCGAGCGAACAGTCAAAAGAGATTTAGATGATGTTGTCATGACGTTGACGTGAGCGTGCCTTTTTGGCAGATAATCCTCACAAAGAGAACCCTCCGGGCTACACGCAGCCGCACAGGCAACATGGCTGTCTCTGTTTGTTTCTGTAGCACCTCGGCTCGCAGTTTGTCATGTCTGACTCTGGCTTTAATTAGGCCTGCAAATTGAAGCTGGGAGCCCTCTGTCCACAGCTCAGCCGTCCTCCACAGCGTCTCCTCGGAGGACCTCTCTGCTCTGTGTGGTTAAGATAATAGCGGCTCGCTCAGAAGATGTTAATTGAGGGGAGATAAAGTGCAGTAGTGGCTGGAGGGATGCAATGTGCGGGGGCGGAGGGGAAGGCTACCTGATTAGAGGCCGAGGTGTTTGACTTACAGCTCGTTTTTTTTTGATATACGTGCTGCTGGAGTTTCAAAAAGGGGTAGGAGGAAAATACAGGAGCAGCATGCATCAAAACACCCAGACCCAGAAGACAGTTATTAAAGTTTCTCCTGAGTCGTTCGTGTTGTTTGGCGAGCTAATCTAGAAAGACCCGATCAAGGCCGGGGATATTAATATATTTTATATATCCCAGCAGGGTTGGGATGGTTACTCAAAAACAATAATGCCTTACCCAATTACTAGTTACTGTTTAAAAAAGTAATGCCTGACTTTATTAAATTACTCACTGCTGAAAGTA